GATGCTATAATTAAATAAAAAATATTTCCTGTACTGTGCTTCTAACTTTCTACGCTTTCTCGAAATATTTCTTATAGTAATAGTTTTGGAAAAAAATTTGTAGTTTATTAAAATTTTCTTTGAAGTTACTTTTCACACCGCTACTTGTAAATTATTCAAAAGTTCATATCAAATGCCTTGCTCTCTCGCGTCATTGGCTTTTAACATGTTAGCAAAAATAACCAAAATTTTGGAAAGCTTTTTTTTCAAGACTTATTTTCTTGAGAGGCTTTATTATATTATTAAATATGATATCTGAAAATTCTCCTACTTTTTTCTGTACGTTTCTCCCTTCTTTAAGTGAAGTAAAAAGGGAAATCGAATTTCTTATAGCCATGTAAGTGAGGCATTGTTACCTACGTATTTTTCATGCAGTAGGTAATGAGACTGGTATTATTCGTTTTGATATAAATCCAAGTGGCAATAACAGAAACAAAAACATTTATAAAATAATTTTAAAAAAAAATTCCAATGCTCACCTGTGTTAACATCCGTCAATTCAGGCATTTACAGGGCGATTTTGTTGGCCTCTCTTTCAGGGGCACCAAATTAGGTGGGCTAACTTTTCTCCCACAGTGAGGACAGATAGTACAGAGAAGGAAAGAACATCCATGCCTTGCCCGGGATTCGAACCCAGAACCTTTCTGATGCAAGGACAGTTCCCTGCTCCTTACACAAGCCGGTTGGCAAACAATTAAAAATAGCAATAAGGATTTGAAAGCAAAATTAAGGGCTTAAAATATTTAAAGATTTACATAATTAGAGGAAGAGCCAGCCTTACACACCTGCCCATCATCATGTACTCTCTTCTTTCATTTTTTAATTAGGTGCATAATCGACTCGCCGTCTAGCGGTCAGCCAATCACAACAGATTATAATCCCATGACGATCGGACTAATAGTTTTGAAATTGTACGCAAAAAGTACAATTTAATACTTGCACTTGAGCATTTAGCATTGCTATCTAAAGTGAATCAAAGTTTCCGACATATTTTTTCATACTGAATCGAATAAGACTTATGTGCACATTTTACATTGCTATCCAGGGGCTATCTGAACATGCAAGGTATATTTTTCGATGTAGTTTTTCATGCTGTAATTGAATGATTAAAGAAACAGGAATCGATAAGATAAATAAACAATGTAGGGGATAAATAAACAAGATAAATAAACAAAGTAATAACGGTTTTATGCACACACAAAAGTAAAATTTTGTGCTTGCACTTGTTACATGTCATACGTTGCTATACAGGCAAGTCAAGTATTGTTTCCTATATATCTTTGTCGCTGAATCTAATGGGAGCAAATATGAATCAAAGGTCTTGTATTTTAAAAAGTGAAATGGTTTTTATTATGTTTAAAATATTATTTTCGAATTACGCGTATTTTGAAGAAAACACTTATAATTTTTATATTATGGTTCATATTTAGCGTAAAAATTATAACGAGAAATTTACATGTTTAGACAGTACGTTTATATCAATGCAAAGTGTATACATAAGTATCAAAAGTAGTATTTTTTATACATAAAAACTTTTGCAACTTTTAAAATATTTGTTCGATTGATTGTGTACAGTCTCTGCAGATTTTGAGCAAAAAAATGCATTGAAACAATGTCTCACTTCTTTAGATAGCAACGTCAGAAGTGAAAATAGGTATAAGAAGTGTAAATATGTAATAAATACAAATGTGTACTTGCTGAACATAAAACATTTATAGCTTCTGAACTGTTCGTCTGACTACCTCATGCAATTCAGCGTAAAAAAATTACATAAGGAACAATGCCACACTTTCTTGTCTAGAAGAAATTCAATTTCTCATCTGAAATAAACCCATTTTCCTCAGAAAAAAAGGGTACTAAAGAGGGTATAAAAGTTTTTAGGTGTCATTTATAATAACGTAACAAATCTTTTTGTCAAAAACAAATAGATTAGGTATTAATTTTGTCGAAAAAACACCCTTTATTTGCTATACTAGACTATTCATCGAAACCTCAAGAAATTTTGCTCCCGACGAATTGTCGCTACCACGAGTAGTGCCTGTGACAAATTGTACTCTTGACGAATGTGCTCATTATGAATTGTGCTTATGACGGATTGTCGCTACAATGATGTTTGGTAGCGAAGATGCGTGACCCCGTCGAATTATCGCTGAAATGAACATCGAATTGTTACCATGACGAATAGTTACCGCGACAAATTGTGAACATGATGAACTGCCGCTGTGATGAATTATACCCGCGACGAATTGTCCCATGACAAATTGTACGCGACGTATTGTACGTGATGAATTGACTCAAAACCAAAGCTGCTGAATAATTTTCACCCTAAAAATGAAGTAACGTGACTTTTGAGTGATTCGCGGGGGAAATTTTCTACCTTCCGTTGCTCCTTTTTATTTCCTCGAAAGAAAATTGATGTGAAAATTTCTAAGCAGAAATCTTAAAATATGGTTTAAGGTGCAGCATTTGTTTGTGCAGAAAAATCTGTTAAAAGATGGCCTTATAGATTTCATAAATTTATTAACTTTCAACTTTTTGAAATTACAACTGTTTTATGCACTGTGTAATTGAACTTTTGGTATACTCTTTTTACCTTAAAGCATTATATTCCATTTAATAATATATAATTCCATAATGTAATATAATTTCAATTAATTCATTCTGAAATCTAACTTTATACTTATAAAATTACCTTATAAGTAAATTTAGACAAGGAAGAACACAGCCATAAAGTAATGATTATACAGAATTTTTCATTATTAATACATAATTTTTTTACTGGTAAAATGTAGTAAGCGAAGCTTTTCAGTATTTTTATATCTTTCCTTCATTTGTATGCATTGTATTTTTTTTTTTCTTAACACTCTCTTGCTTCTTTGAAAAGAAAAACTCTTGTATATATTTTTTTTTACTCTCAATAGCTTTCATTGGTAGTTTGTTCAATAGTTCAATAGGTCTCAATAGTTTCGTTCATAACGCAAATTTGCTTAAACAAGGGGTTCCCATATGATATTCGACGGAACTCTAGTGTTCCATGGAAGGGCAAAAAAGATTCTGTGAATTAAGACCTTTTTCAAGCCATTGGAAACCAGTTTCAAAACATGTAAATCCAATCAATTATCCATTATTTATTTACTATTTCAGTTACCTTTATGAAATTATTTAAAATAAAATATCAATGAAATTAAAAAGGCATAATTTCTGTGAAAATACATATATTTCTAATAACAATATTTTGAATTTCTCGAGTATTGAGGAATATAAACTTCCCTCGTATATTTTTCTCAACAACTTTATCTCTTATAGTCATCTTTGAAAATTAAGTAAATTTCAAATGTGTATGTGTCAGTAACTAATTGGGTTAACTTGTGATTTCAGGTAACAGTCCAAAATCTCTAAATTTTAATAAATTGCACCTCACTTTTTCAAAAAACTACATAAAATGTGCAAATTAGTTTCCAAACAATAATATTTAATTGATTATTTGAATTCCATAGTAATATATTTAATTTGAATCGGTACAAACAACTTCAGGAGAATTTCTAAAGATAATTCTTCATATCAAGGCATTGGTAAATAGAAACCTTCAGAAAATTGATGGCATGACTCAAGTATATCTTATCAAAAATGCTTAATTTTAAAAAAAAATGAAAAAATAGTTTTTCTTGCCTCAGCATAGAATTTTTTTTGTCTTGCCAAGTGAGCGATGAACCAAAAAAAGGTTGGGAAACTATAATCTAGATTATCTCAACCTCTGAATCAGTTTGAGCAATGCAGCTGTGGTTGCTGATCTTCTTACATCACTTAAATTATCCGTAGCAAATCTAATTTATAGCAATTTCATGTCCTCGCCTTTTGCATTTCTCGCATTTTAAATCAGCAATATTCACAAGACTAAGACAAAATGGAATCTTATTTCATTTTGTCTTAATTTTGAGATGCGAAATAATTAGATTTATTCAACAAATTGCACTGAATATAGTACTACTATTTCATACAATTAATTGAAAAAATCACTCTTTTTAGCCGGTGTAAATTGCCACTTTAATACCCAAATTTTAAAAGTATAAACAACCAGACATAGTTCATGTTATTAAGGCCAATCGCATTCGATGGCTGGGACACCTTTATAGATCTGAAGACCGAAACCCTGCAAAAAAAAGTAACTTTTTTTAAACCAGAAGGTACAAGAAAAAGGGGTCATCCACCGACTAGGTGGTTGGACGCAGTTGAGAGGGACCTAAAGATAATAGGAATAACTAACTGGAAGCCCATGGCACAGAATAGATCACAATGGCAGAAACTTATTGGGGTGGCCTTGTCCTATCATAGGCTGTAGTGCCCAAGAAGAGGAGGATTTCATACAATTTATTGAAAAATCACCCTTTTTAACCGGTGCAAACTGCCATTTTAATATCTGCATATGAACCAAGCAAATTAATTTTTAATGGATTATCCTACTAAAGTAATTATTAAACAATTAATTATCCTAATAAATTAATTGTTAGAAAATTAATTATCCGAATAAATTAATTATTAAGCAATTTATTATCCTAATAAATTAGTTATTAAACATTTAATTAGCTAAATAAATTAATTATTAGATAATTAATTATCCGAATAAATTAATTATTAGACAATTAATTATCCTAATAACTTAATTATTAGACAGTTAATTATCCGAATAAATTAATTATTAGACATTTAATTATCCGAATAAATTAATGATTAGACAATTAATTATCCAAATAAATTAATTGTTAGACAATTAATTATCCAAATAATTTATTATTGGAGTTATAAATAAATAATAAAACTAGTAAACGTATCTGTCTGTGACTGCGGTGAGCCCCAAGCAAGTCATGCACTACCTATTATCAAGAAACCCCTTTTACACACCCTTCCTTACTTGTTTATTGCTTAGATACATGTTTACTCTTGTATTTTTTAATCGATTTCAGATCAAATGGAGGATATTGCTTGGTTACATTCTGGACTACAGTGGACTTCCAGAAGATAAATTGAACGATCTCAACATAGTAGTAAACTGCGAAAAGTATCTACGCAACCTTGTTGGTCTTCTAAATCGGACACCCATTCGGTAAACATAAAAACACTAAATTGTATCTATCAAATTGTTAAACTCTTTAAATTGTAAATTTTAAACACATTCATGGCATGTCTAAAATCTAATCAGACTAAAAAAAATTCTATTAAAAATAATTTTAAGACTTACTACTTTCTTTAAAACACAATACGCAAACTATTTAGTTTTTCAAGAACAAATCAAATAGTATTTTCGAAAATAAAACTATTAAAATAACAGTTAATGGAGAATACTTTAAAAAAGACTGGGGTGAATAAGGAGGTAAATAATTGTAACATTATTATCATTCAGTTCTGGGAAAATAGAGTTGTAGCATCCTCCGGAGTTAAGCTCCGCAGCTCGAAGCTTCCATAATTTCAGTTTAGTAACCTGAACGTAAGGACAGTTTACTTTCGTTATGTTGGACAACTAAATTGATCCGTGCTGAGACTTTCTCTCTTCTAGGAGGTGTTGGTTAAACTCCGTAGGTCTGAGTCTCCATAATTTTTAATTCATTCATTTAATTCTCTACTAAACCACTCTTTTATTTAAATTATAAATAAAAAGTTTATTATAGGTTGTCACCTACAAATAATCCGCACATAACCTCTTAAAATGAAAACAGCAAACTTCTCTGATTAAATTTAAAAAATCTTTCAATTCTTTAAATCATGTCAAATCACACCCTTTTCCATTGCATATGATATTTACTCACTTTAAGTTTATGCAGTATCAAAAAAAACTTTAACAAATTTTTAAACTACTAATTCGAATTTTGTAAAAATTTAGCAAATGGCAAGAAACAAACAGTTTCTACCATACCTAGAAAAATATTACAAAAGAAAAATAATCTTTTAAACAATAAGTTAGGATTTGTTTTGTTAGTTCAAACACTCAAACCTGTTCAAAAAAAAAAAAAAAANTTAAAAAAAAAAAAAAAAACTCTGGTGAAAGGGGGCATGGCAGTTGAGGCTTGCGCACCATCTGCCTATACTTCCCGTGCAAACTGGTACATAAAGATCCGAAACTGGGTGAATCTGAAAGGCTCAAATCGCAGCCCTTAACGTTGACAGCTCGGTACCTTTAACTCTTGAGCCATTGTGACAAGCTGTTGGGATTATGGGTTTTTTTCTGAGAGTTTATAGCTATTTTATAAATTTAATCCATTAAATATCATTTTATACTATTTTATTTAGATATTTACAAAGACATCCTGACCTCTGCGTTTGCTATCACTTGTTTTATTGTAAAAATATATTATCTATGACCCCTACATGTCTATACGCATTTACGTTATCGCTACACGTTTTTTAAATATCTTGTTTAAAATTAAATTAATCCTCAATTTTCAAATCATTCTCAGTCATCTTGAATTAATCATTTATTTTTCATAAAAATATTATTAAACTATGAAAATTTTTGAAAAAAATTGCAAATTCTCGGAAATATATGATTATTTTTATAATGCAGCTAAACTTTTACTATCATGTAAGTTTAACTCTGCAAATATTATTCACTAGTTATAAACATAGTTATATATTTTTAATAAGTCATATACTTTACACGTAAATAGTACCGTAATATAATAAATATAACTACTTCACCAAAATATAAATTAATCAAATTTTTTCAGGACGATTGCCAATTATTTGACTTGGCGGTTTGTTGCCAAATACTTACCATACTTAGATATACATTTTCGACGTTTGTATTACGACTTTCGAAGAGAAGTTCCCAATTTGTCTGAAGAAAGAACATTTTTTGCCAGATGGAAGGAGTGTGTTAGTTTAGTAAATGATGGTTTTGGAATGGCTCTCGCTTCTCTATATGTGAAGCAGGAATTCAATGAAGAAATTGAAAGCGAAGTATATTTTACTTATTTTTCCAAATTTAAAAGTTGTTGCATCATAATTGTTTATCACGATTTATATGTATTTTATAATAAACAAACTCAGGGCGGGATAAATCTCTAATTTTCCATTGCTCCGAAGTTTATGAAATGATTGGTGACTATAGTTATAAGACAAAATATACGGAGACAGACCGAAGAAAAAGAGTCATCTTTGTGTCGAACTAAACGCGAGAAAGTAGTGTGGTTTTCCTCTCGATATAACGTAAAATTTTCATATAACGCACTACTTGCGAGATATTACAGAAAAGCATAAAATCTCTCTGATAAATCAGCTCGTGTTGAGAAATTTGAGTAGATTAAGAGCTTGAGTACTACTTAACTCAGATGAATCTCAACGATTAAGATTCATTTGTTCATTGTTTGCTACCTTCATCGATTACAATATTGACGCAATATATCCCCAGTTCAGACTCAAAATGTAAGGGAACTCCACAAGTATTAAAGTCACTCAAGCATTAAGTCCGATATTAAATCGGCTTCGGCGAGAGTTTTTAAATGGAAAAAAACCCACCTTTAAGTTACATGAAGAAAAAACACGAAAATAATCCTTGGTTATCTAATTAAATGTTATCGTGGTTTTCTTCTCCATGTGGTACTAGAGCAAATTAATTTTATTCACGAAATTTATTGTAAAGGCAAGTTTGTGTGGCTATTAGAGGCGTGAGTTTCGTTGTCTCTTATGTCGAAATCAAAATTACAAGCTTATGGAGTTTAACATTAAAAGTCATTAAATTTTGCAGAATTATCAACTTTCCAATGCCACTAATAAAATAAATGAATAAAAGAAACAACGATCATCAAAATATCAGGAGTTTTAATGACCTTAATTATTATTGTTATTATATGTATTCAAAGAAGCAACGATCATCAAAATATCAGGAGTTTTAATGACCTTAATTATTATTGTCATTGTATGTATTCAATTCACATTACGTTGTTTGCTGAAAACTTGTGTGATTGATTTTCGGTTTCCTATATATGAGATAAAGTTACAGTTTAGAAATCATTAAATCGGTACCTTAATGTAAAAATGAATAATGTTTAATAAAGAAAAAGCTTCCAGAAACTGGTGAGGAAAAATATGCTTGATGATATAAAATATTACATTTGCTTCAAAAATATGAGGATGATATGTTTTAAGGGCTCTAAAATATATTCCAAATCTCAAGACTAGTCAGACGTGAATGAGAAAAACAAAGTGATTTTAAAAGGAAACTATGAAATTCCCCACGACTGATTTGCTTTTCCCGACCACTGCGGTTTTCTTTTCTTCCTGGTTTTGCTTCTTTTTTTACCATTGTTTATTTATTATTTTCTGTATTACTGGGGTGCAGTTCTGTTTCTTCACATTCTATTCTTTCACCTTGGTTTATTTCTCATTTTCGTTGAACAACCGACCCACTTTGCGACTATCAACGTTCAACTCCGAAGCTTTATGATTTTGAACTCGACCCAGAAGACAACAAAAAAAACTCCTGGATCAAGAATTGGGCCAAATTAGCTTTCATGAAAGACTTTTTGAGGGAACTAACTCACATTTGCGTTACATGGAGAAGAAAACCACGAAAACCTTCCACGGTTAACTTAACGGAAAGGGGACTCACTCATAATTTGTTAACGACTGAGAATGTTTCACGTTAGCACTGTAGCTAGTACGAGTCGGGAGCAGAATTCGTATCGACCGACTATCGATGGAAGACGAACCTAGATCAAGATCAGTAGTCGAGTGCTCTCTGAACCACCATTTCAAAAACATTACAGAATCTTTATCTAATATAAATTGTATAATATGAGAATCAACTATTGAACTTTTTCTTTCTAGATTAAATCATTAATTACATCGCTGAAACAAGCATTCATGGGAGGAATTAGACATATAACATGGCTAGATCCTGAAACCAGAGTATCTTGCGAAGAAAAAGTATAATTTCCATATAGATTATGTGTCTTTTTAAAGCGAAAAGTCTAAACATTTTTTTTTTAAATTATTATTTATTTACGCAGGTGGAAAGCATGACTACGAAGTTAGGCTTCCCAAGATACATTTTAGATCCTGTTCAGCTTGATACAGATTATGCTGGAGTAAGTCTTTTTTTTCTCCTTCTTACATTCCATTTTTTAAAATCAAATTTCTTTAGCATAATAAGATTTCCTAGTCAAAATGATCTTAGAAGTAAAATGCCTATAAACGTTTGCTGGTAAAAATCAAATTTGTTTTTATTTCCTTCCAAGTGGATTTCAAAAGTAAGAAAATCTATCATAAAAAAGAACATGAATCAACAAGGTAGAATATATAATTAGATTTGTGTTTTCTTATATTGGTTTATCTACCTTTTCTTTCTTTTTCATGTGTATTTTTCTTTTGAGTTTTTTCGCATGAAAATATTTCTAAGAAAAAAATTTTATGCCCAAGAAAACATCAATATTTTTTTTGTGCTTCCTTATAAGAAAATTATTTTAATTAAATAGATGCATATTTTTAAATACTAGTTTTTTTATTATTTTTCTGATAAGAAAATGCTTTTAAATAAAAATAATAAATTGCTTTAAAGAAATACCTACACCTCGATTTTCTAATAGATCCTGTTAAAACATTATTTTTATTTAGGTAAATATGAAACTCCAAAAAAAAATTATCATAATTTTAATTTTTGTTCATTATTTGCTTCATAATTTTTGCTAAAAAAAATTTTTAAATAAATGTAATTCGATGCCTTAATTATCAGCATATTGCATTTTATAGTTAAAAAAAGTTTCGTAAGAAAATGTTTTATTAAGAAGACTGAGTATAAGGATATTTGTGTTTTAAAAATATGCATATACATACTGTAATTTTAATGTATAAATATGTACATGTATACATAATGATATTATTCATGCTCTTTAAGACTTGTTTCTGAGAAATTATTTTCATTTAAAATGCTTTGATGCCATAAAAATTAGCAAAATACTGATTTTTTTAAAACATAGCATTTTTTTACATTTATTTATTACTAAGAAAGTATTTCGCATATTAAAAAAATACTTATGCCTTTCATTAACTTTTACTCTGCCTCACATGCCTCAAAGAGCCTGCCTCACATCCAAGTGCTTGTCCTAATTAAAGTTTTATTGCTTGTTTATAAATAGTTTAAATACAACTTTATTTCCTTAAAAAATGAGATACTTCTTGAAAATTATAATTAAAATTAGATAAATACTTATAATGGATAACTATAAAATACTTAAATAATGGATAAAATTAAAGACTTTAAAATTAGATATTTCTTGATATTTAAATTACAGTATTAATTTAATCTTTCAATCAAATAAATGATTAAAGTAATAATATTTATAAGCCTTTGAAATATTACTTACTTTTTTGTTAATTAATTATACATTTTATTTAATGAACAATAGTCTGGATTGTGGATTGTAATTATCATAAAAAACAATTGTTTGTGTAATAAAATGTAACAAAAAATTATTCGGCTTCTTGCTCAATTAATAAAAGATTATTGTTAACATAAACAACCTTTTTGAAGTTGATCAGCTGAACATACGTCATTAACATTCAAAAAGATTTTTCAATCCTTTGAAAGTTTAGATATACGCCAGTTATGTTTTATTATTTTTATGCAAAATTCGCGTTTTTATTTAAATATAATCTTCTTGAGAATTTTTTTCTCGATTTCGTTTAATAAACTTTGTAGAATTCTGTTAATACATTAATAGATTTTTTCCCGTCTACGAAACCAAACACCATAAGGATGTACATTTACATTCATTAGTAAGGATTATATTAGTACATTTTAAAACAACTACTTGAAAATCTAACTTATTAATTATTATAGCCACTAATTATAAATATTAGTAATTCAATGGTATTATTTTATTAAAGGTCTTAATTATTACTGTAAAAGTGTCAATAATATCTAGTAGCCAAAAAAATATAATAAATAAAATAAAATTATTTATATTTAAATTAATACAATTTGCAAACAGAAAAATCATTATTAAATATGTAATTTAAATCTCCAGTTATACTTAATAATTTTGAAATAAATTATAATAACGTAATTATAATAAAGTAATTATAATAAATTAAGTAATATAACAAAGTAAAATAAAATAAAATTTAAATTAATGCTGTGTGTAAACTGAAAAAAAAAACATTATTTTTAAAAAAAAGGAATGAGATAAATACATTTTCAACACCTTTCAAACCAATTCGCATTGTTGTTATGTAGATTATCCTGACATTAGGCCATTGCCCCGATATCAAAGTGAAGATATAGATAGTATCTAAGTATACTTAAATTTTCAAAAATGTTTTTCTCGGAATTGGCTGGCTAGTGCTCTTTATTACTTTTAGTGGTGATTATTCTTAAGCCATACTACTAATATATGACGTTTCATTCCTAAGTGAATTTCTCAATTCGTGCCCTTTTCTTGTAAGTTCATTTAAGAGCACAGAAATGTTGCAATGTTCAAGCAACGATCTTTTTTGCACTTTAACTTGTATCTAGTTGGCAATGTGATTTTTTTCTGCCCTTTCACATATACATTCCTTTAAGATATTATACAGTATACACCGAAGAGCCATTACATTATGACCACCCTCCATCTATAACAATGGGCTCGCCCAGGTTTTCATGGCTTCTCTCCAGGAACTATGTTTTCATGGGGCACATTAGGACCCATAATCCTCATAGAACAATCCCTGACGTCTGTAAGCTGCTNGACTTCATTATTACTGTAAAAGTGTCAATAATATCTAGTAGCTAAAAAATATAATAAATAAAATAAAATTATTTATATTTAAATTAATACAATTTGTAAACAGAAAAACCATTATTAAATATGTAATTTAAATCTCAAGTAATACTTAATAATTATGAAATAAAATAATTATAATAAAGTGAAGTAATATAACAAAGTAAAATAAAATAAAATTTAAATTAATATTGTTGGTAAGCAGGAAAAAAAATTTTTTTTAAAAAAAAGTATGAGATAAATACATTTTCAACACATTTCAAACCAATGGGATTATGGAGGTTATCCTGACATACTACTAATATACGACGTTTAATTCCAAAGTGAATTTCTCAATTCGTGCCCTTTTCTTGTAAGTTTATTTAAGCGCACAGAAACGTCGCAATGTTCATGCAAAGATCTTTTTTGCACTTTAAGAAGTATCTAGTTGGCAATGTCAGATTATCTAGGTAATCTTAGGCTTTTTTTTTCAAGAAAATAGGCATTTCAACAATTCAGGAACCTAATGTCATTTTGTCAATTATTTACTACGTCAATTATTTATTATATCGATTATTGACTATTTTGGCTGTATACGCACAATATATAATTATAAGTAGATTATCATTTCACTACCACTCAAGAAAATTATCTTCGTAAAGAATGAAAGTTGGCTGGTTTGGCGTTCGTTTTTAGTATTAATGGTTTTTGATAACTCGCTCAAACTAGTAGTTGACATCAAACAGTTTTTCTTTTTACTTTTTTTAAATTAAATTACTAATAATTCTTTTTTTTTAGCTTGAAATATCTGAGGAACATTTTTTAAATAATATTTTGAAAATGAATCGATATGAAGTAATCAAAGAACTGACTAAGATGACACGCACTGTTGACAAAGAGAAGTAAGTTATCTGCGACGTATTTTTTAACTAGTAAATGATTCGTCATTGGGAGAAAATATTTTACAAAACACCTATTCGGCTCATTAAGTTTATTACTATATCGGTTCGTAAAATATTCTGTAGATGTCCAACAAAGGAAAGGGTAATACTTTGTGCTATGTTGACTAAATCAAAAAAAAGCACCATAAATAAAGCACAAATGAAAGTACATAAATGGACATACTATAATTTCAGTTCCAGAAACAAGTACGCTTCTCAGTGTCAAAACATCAAATGAAGGTAGATAAGTAAAGACACGACCACTTAACATTTTCTACTTTCATTTGACGTTTTGACACAAAGAAAGGTTCACGCGTAGACAGGAACTGTTTTTTCCCACCACGGCCCATGTGCTAACTTCATTACTTTTGTTTATTTTAATTTAGAAGACAAACTTTATAAATGCTTAATCTTCAAAAGGAATTATACATAACTTTTTATATATTTTCTAAAACTAGCGTATGGTCATCAATTTTATTCCAGCATACTTTATCAGAAGTGAAAATTTTAATAAATAGAATCTCAAATGAAAAGTGGTAAAAAGTAGACTTTCAAAATTTTTGAGAAGTATTCTAACTACTTCCTTAGAAAGTGTTAATAGAAGTTTTTTTTCGCATATATATTACTTTATGTTGCTAACATTTTAAATAAATTACTTAGTCTACTACGACAGAAATACACTGTAATAGAACATTTTTTTGTTTGAAAAGATAAAAAGCTAATTTTCCATTTCTTTACAAAAAAAACTACTTTGGTTTCCTTTTATTAAATGCAGTGGAATGTACTTGAAGAGTAAAAAATCAACTTTAAAAATGAAGCTAGTTATTCATTAAAAGATGACTAATAAAAAAAATTATTTTTTAAACCAAGACGCAAGAAAAAATATTGTAATTAAAGAAATCTGTTCTCTGCATGATTTAACTGAAAATATTTGTTCGTAATTGGGTTTTACTATTCAATACTCATACTACTCAAAATTCCTTTTAATTTTTATCCTATTCATGAAAAAAATCTTATTTTCCCTTACTGTTGCGGTTTTTATTGAGCTGAAGAGCTTATTGAACAAATTCTCGCAATAAAAGTTTTTTTTCACTGATTAAGATTAATTTTATTGACGATAATCAACATCAAAAAAGTAATTTTCAAGTTTAAAAAAAGTCAAGTATGTGCAATCCTTCCTCTTTGGGGTAAAGTTAATTGGCTTTTTAGAACAATTTTTTTTTCTTCGAAATAATTTATTACCCTCAACGTTAACTCGGATGAAATGCATTTTACAAAAGGGTTGTAAGACCGTAAAAATTTATACTTTTTAAGTTATTTTGTCCTATTAAATCCCTAATTAATTTCAAGAAAAATGACATCATTGCGAAGTACGCTCTCAGACCAGTTTTAATGGCAGCACAAGAAAATAAAAAATATCCTTAAATAATTTCATTAATTTTATATATACAGTCCCTGGTCAATTTATTAGACTCACTATAAGATTCTACGTAAAATCTTAATTATCAGGTGACGCTTTACAGATTCATTGTTTTTACGCCACTGAAATTGGTGTGTACTTGTTTACGTTCGTGCATCAATTGGTTAAATTAGACGATATATAATATAAATTCGAGGATTGGATAAATTAGACGATTTATTGTATAAATTAAAATATTTCTTATATCAGGTATTATATTAATATAATATAATAATGAGACCAAATTATTAAACACACTGTAGTTTTTTAATAATTACATGTATTGCACAAGCTTAAATGCAATGCTTTTATATTTAAACATAAATGCAATGGGTTTTTATTCCGGAGACTTTTTATATACTTCCTATTTGTACTTATTTCTAACGTATTGCAGTGCAATGTTAAATAATTGATACATGAACGTAAACGCGTGCAAACCTGTTATAGCCGAGTAAAAACAATAAAGCTGTATAGTATTAGCGGATAATTAAGATTTTACATTAAATTGAATATTCAAGATGGTCAAGAAACAAAAAGAGAGTGGGGAAAAAAGCCCCTAGCATTCGATACTTTGTTCCAAATGTAATTATTTGAATTCATTGTCTGTTCTGACACCGTCCAATTGATATTGAAAGACCATAGGAGAAGAACGGTTTGTGTTCAGAAAAAATTTATTCGAAAAAAAAAACGATTTTGAAGGAAGAAAAGAAAGGATTTTCTACTTACTGCATCTTCACTGCATACTAACTCTCAGAGAGAAGCGAGATTTTTTGCTATTGATTTGTCAAAACTTAGTAATCCTCAAAACCCAACAGGTGGCTACCGTTCTTCCCCTGTGATCTTGTTTTATTCTCATATTTATCTGAAAATACATATTTAAACTATAAACTATTTTTTCAGAGACTGGTTCGTTCAACCACTGGTTGTGAATGCGTTTTATGAAGCAACTGGAAACGCTGTTAGTAAGTTCAAAGTTTCACAGAACAATTTAATTATTTTTTTTTAACATCCAATGCTCAGGTACTATATTTTTTTAACAACTACTAGTTTATCTCTCATGAAAAGAAACTTCATCAGACACAACTGAAGCTTATTTTTAAATGTTAAGGAATTCCTTTCTTATAAAATAAATTTTAAAAAATTAATAAAAAACATGCACAGAAATTAGAAAGGGAAAAATATTTTTAGGTGATAGTGAATGAAATATCTTATTTTTACCACGTTTATATCAACTTGCCTCCGTGTATGTCTGTTCGGGTGGAATTTTGTAATCGATTTTAAACTAACTTCCCGACTAGCTACAGACTTCAAATTTAGCACATAGCTCAGAATTGGATAACAATACGTGAAAATAAAGAGAAAAAAGACATACAAAGTAAAATAAAATTAAAATTAAAGAAAAATTAATATTTTCGCTATTGTCTTTTGTTGTCGATTCGATTATTTCAAATTAGTGTCAAATGTCAGTTGAAAATTTTGTGCACAGTGAGTGAAAAAATTGAGTATTGGAAGTGAGTACAAAAAAGAAATCAAACTAAAAATAGTATTTTTAAAAATCACGTTTTTGTAGGGGAGAATAATAATTAAAAAACAAACATTTGAAAAACGAAAAATGTGGGGGGCATGAAATACATGACAGTACATATACACATTTTACATATTCATACACATACACATATATATCCACATACACATATATATCCACATACACATGCATATACACAAACATATACCACATACACATACACATTCAGATACAATTACAGATATGCATACACACATTCTCATGAGCACACATACTGTTACTGCTATGTATTTCATGCGCCTCACGTTTTTCGTTTTTCAAATTTTTGTTTTTTTAATTATTATTCTCCATTACAAAAACGTGGTTTTTAAAAATATTACTTTTATTTCTAACACAAGTAACTGTCAAATACAAGTTTCAAAGCATGAATAATATTTTGAAAATTGCAGTTGAAAAAATTTATATTTTAATTATAACTTGATTACGATTAGCATTTAATTAATGCTTCTATTTTAAACTGTAAACTCATAGTTCAGCATCCATTGCTCAGATAATTAAACACTTGCTTAATTAAACCCGCCATTTTAATATTCAGTAAAATATTTTCAGCGTTAAATTCATTTTAATTATTTCCAGTAATATAATACTGTAATTATCTAAAGGAAAAATAACTATTTGAAAAGTATAATTTTGATGACTGTAGAATTTCAATTAGACAATTTTTTGTTATTTCTGAATGAAAAATTAAGTAAATGTAAATAAAATGCAATAAAAAACAGTAAATGCAATAAAAACAAATATTTTTTTAAATCTTTTCTGAACCTTTTATTATTATCAGTTGTAAGACAAATGCGGCAAAAAAATTCCAAGCATGCAATTTTAAAAATGAAAAAATCTGGTGTTACAGGCGTAGCATTTTCTGTTACAGACGTAGCATATTTTAATGGATACACCCACAAAAAATCAGAAATTTGAATTGAAACAAAAGGGGATACTGCAAATAATACTCACAGATATAAATGTAATTGAGAGAGACTAATCAATAATATTCTTAACTCTATTTTCTTTTTAACTAACCCGGAATTCAATTTTATATCACTTTGAATGTATTAAGGTAAGTATTTTCTGAGGATATTCACTAAAAAGCTGATAATATTTGAAAAAAAAATGCAATTTAAATATCAGCAACATTATATGATGTTCATTAATTATTCTAATCTGGTAACAGAGAAGATTCAAAGGACAGGAAATATACACTTTTAAAAAATATTAAAAGCACTTGATGATTCTTAACTTAGTTATAGGCATTCAAAATCTACAAATGTTACGTCCATAATGTTACGTCCATGTAATTGCCCTAGAGTATTTGAGTTAAACAATTTTATAAATTTATTTTAGGACTAGGGTGCTTGTTCACTTAAGAAGTCGCAAGGACGACTTGTTTTGCCCACTGTGTCACTACAATCATTTTTCTCATTTACATTTATTTTGCTGTTTTTTTATTAACCGTTTTCAATCTGGTACTTTAAACATTCTTAAGAATCAAATGCAAGCAATAAACTATTTCAGTAATAACCTGAGGCCTCTATGGTTCATCTTTTTTCCCAAGCTCCGGAGGTTGCAAGTTCGATCCTGGCAGCTAATTAGACAATCAGAGTTTATATGCAAGAAAGTAAACGTTACATTCTAAATTAAGCTACCAGCTTTAGCTCTTTGTTGTTTAAATAATAGTGGTTGCTAAATGTTTCAAAGCAAATTAGTTTTATATTTCTAACTGTTTTGTAATATTTGTTGAATTTAGTCTTGCCAGACAGGCTTTCCTGTTCCTGTTTCCTGGCAGACTGTTGCTAGGGCTAAAAGATAGAACCCTGAGAACGGGAATGCGATTTTCCAATCCAGTGACTTTTAAAGACTCGCTTTTCTGTTTAGCATTTTCTTTAAAAAATATTGATTATTTACTTATTTTTAGTTCAGGTGATAAATTTTAAAAAAATGAAAACTTGCATTATAATTGCGACCAAGAGGAAAATCTCCAAAAAAGCGAGCGAGTTGTTAAAGGGTACTGGATTGTAAATTAGCAAACAAGGCTAAGTACCTGGACATGTTTGGGAGTGTGTGGACCCTGTTCCCATCTATCACGCAATTCTGATATCCTTATTCATCAATTTTAACATGGGTTTGCGTTCATTAAATAAACAACCTTAGAATAAAGTAGTTACTAAATACAGAAACATAACAATTTCCTATTTCAGAATGGTGATTTGAGATGTCTCTTCAGCGGAGCCCACAGAATGTTAAGGCTTACTTACATTCGTGTTCGGGGGCTGGAGTCTAGCAATCGACATTTAAACCAGTTTCTGGCAAACTATAACACTTAAATCTTTATTAAAGCTAAGCCATACAATTTTCAATGATTTCCTGACCTCTACAAGTAGAATCAACTCATTTTAGTCTACTTATGCAAAAATAGACAATTTTTTCACGTTTAAAGCACTTCATGAGCGAGTAAGTAGTGGTAGTGTTAGGACAAATATGCTTCCACCATTCTGAAATTTTCTAGTGTTGGATATCATGTTAGTGCAATAATCTGATTTCTGATTAAAATATTGATATTAATATTATTAATAAAATATTTTGTTTACGAATGTTTCGTTTCTCCGTGATAATTTTAAAGAATGAAATAATTAAATTATCAGTTTTTACCTTTTTTAAAGAAGTTAATGGAAACATTGGCCTTTAATGGGTTAATTGCAATTTTACAGTCAAGGAGATTATCGTCAATCATATGTCCAACTAATGATGATTACTTATCGTTGCAACCAGGTATAAAAATTATTCAATATTTTCTACTGGTTCATTTTTTAGATATGTATCATTCTCATTTTTACTATTACATATTTCAAAGAATCTTTTTTTTCATTGATTTGCTATCCAATTAATTCTGCATTTTTAGCTAGTCAATAACAAACATTACTTTCTGAGCTTTAAATAAAGTATTCACGAACAAGCAGTTACTTTCACAACTATGGAACAAATTAAATTTTTTCCTGTGGGGTTTAACTTTTATTGGCGAGCATACAATTCTATAGAAACTCAGTTTCGATTACTGTTTATGTCACTGAAGTTGGCAAAAGTAATAATTCAAAAACTCTAAAGAATTTGATTTATTATGCTGTGCACATGCTAGAATTTAATTTCTTAATTAAAAGAAGAATTTGCATTACGATGTCTTAGTAATTAGTGAAATGCAAACTGATAACAGGTGACTTTCATTCCGACGGAGGCTAGAATGCGTCGTCAATTTTGCGATTTTAAAAAAAAACGCCATGGATGTCATTTAATAGTATTTTCACCTGACGTTGGAATTAAATAATACTTTTCCAGTAAGAAGTACGTTAGCTTTCAAGAAACTAACTTTTGAAGCATGTATTCGATTTAAATAAAGGGAATATTTTAAAAATTGAGAGTCATATGAAGGCATGAGCCGTAAACAAATTAGTATGAGTCAATTCTATATGCACCCAATTTAAATTAATTTGAGAAAACTTAAATAAAATCAAACGAAATTTCAAAAATTAGCATGTCAACAAAAGCAGTACTTCTTCAGGGGACGCCCTGCCCCGCTAACATGCTGGAGTCTTTCTGTAGCCAGTGGTTCAACCAAAAACTGCTGTGCCCCGAGACCTCTTAATGGAAGACTAAATAAGAATAAAAACGCAATATTTTAAAAATTCAAAGATTAAAATTAAAATAAAAGATTTTTTTCGGTACATTTGGCGTACAACCAATTTGAGATTGTTACCTTACGTTGCAACTGCTTTACTCAGAGTTGCGAGTAATAAACGATCCATTATTTCCGACGTTTAGAAAGAAATATTTAGAAAGAGAAAAGAAAAAGAAAATTATTCAGAAATAAAGAAGAAAGTTCTATTCCCTTAAAACATTATGATGCATTAAATATAATTTGATAGTAATTAATTTTTTAATCTCATTTCATTGCAGTTTTTCCTGTTGGAATACTAAGGTCACCAATCTTCACTCCAGACAGGCCTAAGTAAATATTTCTCTCATTTTCTATCGAATTGAAAACTAAAGGGCTTGTTGCAATAGAATGATAAGCCACGCTTTTACATACAAGACTATAAGATGTGAAATTAACGTTAAACGTTTTTTTTTTTCAGATACTTAAACTTTGGAATGTTAGGAGTTGTTATCGGTCATGAAATCACTCATGGATTCGACAGTAGCGGTAAGTTTTTATCATCAGGTTGATACACATGTTTGTCGCTCAGAAAAAGAAATGAATTTTTTAAAACGATTTCTTACCTGCATAAGGCAAAGGTTTTATGCTGAACTTATTTAATATATAAATTTTTAAAACTATTATTTAATGCCTTTAAATTGTAATTTTGGTCACAGATATTTAATCTTTATTTGACTGAAAGGGACATCATATATAAGTTCTAAATGGCATTCTAATTTGTTTTGTTGATTTTGATAAACGAGATTCATGAATTTCAATGAATTAGTTAATTATTTTATAATATAGATTAGATTGAAGGCAGAGATCAATCGTACAAGAGTTAGAACTGGCAATGCAATATCGAACTTAAACGATATTACACACTCAAAGTAACGAAATGAAAGACTTTGTAATAAAATTAACCAGATTGACTCCTTAGAGTACCTCCGGATCAGGGTCAACTAGGAATACAAATCAACTGGAGAGATGCTTATAGTTTAGAATACAATGAAACTTGTGTAAATTGACCACTTGCCGTTTCAACTTAGACAGATGATCAACTTATAGAGAGAATGCGTTATTTTTGTTTTATATCATGTTATTCTAATATAAAAATAATGCATATAAAATGCGTTTTTAAACACGTTTTTAGTTTTTCCAAATGGTCAACTCACAAATAGGTTTAAGTTAGCTTTTAATACTATTTCCCCAATTTTTTTAAAATTCTAATTCATACCACAAAAGCAAAGAAAATTTCCTAAAAAAATTTTTTTCGTTGGTCAACTTATGAAGAGTTTAGATTATCATTCAAATGCACTCCTAGACCGATTTGACTTATTTTATCTGCCAAGATAAAAAATAGACATATGGTCAGGTTACAAAGATTTGCTCTCCTTTAATAAGAATGATAAATTTGGTTCCTGATAATCACGATCAACTTAGACAGGTAGTCTCACTTGACAAATTTCAATGTATTCTGCTTGATATTTTTTGATAAGAAAAGCAAGCTAAGCAAAAATGCAAACATCATTTGATATTTACATATATGAATGTCATACACGCGTATTTACCTGATAAATGTTAAATTTCCGAAGAACGACAAATAAAAAGGGAATGCTTACATATTTCCCATAGAAAATGTGCTTCAAAACAAAAATCTAGTAAAATAATTTTTTCAAGAAAAGTTTAACCAATTAGAGCTAAAATATGTGGATTTCTTTCCCATTTTATTTTGCGACATGTAGATGTTTGCAATAAGTATACAAACATCTTATTTGTTTACGATTGTAAAATAAGCTTTTATTTTAAAAAAATGTTTTTCCAACATTTAAATATGAATTTTGCAATAAATATTTTAAAAAATCTATATTTTGCTTTTATTTCGGTACAAGAAATGCATTAAGTTTGACAATCTGGAAAAGTTCCTTCATTACGTTAGAAAACATTTTTTCCGCTGTATTTTAAATTCTCATTATAACTGGATTTTCATGCAAACAGCGGTTTAAGTAAAAACAGCATATGCAAATATTTTGTGAAAGAGTGTGTAATGAGCTAAAATTATCCCTACTACCCAACATTCACGAGAACATCCGCAGACATTAGACTCGTCTTCTGACGGTTACTATGGTTACGAAAATAAATCATTTTGAATTATAGTGTTTGTTTGTTTGTTTGTTGTTCGCTTACGTCGCACTAGAGTTGCGCACTAGAGTTAGATTATTGGCGACGGTCTGGGAAACATCGCGGAGGATGATCCGAAGACATGCCATCGCAATTTTGATCCTCTGCGGAAGGGAGAATTAGGGTGTGGGATTAAACACATTTGTTTAGGTGACACATTTGTTTAGGTGACGTCGTGAATAGAATTTTGCTATTTAATATAATTAGTATAATGAAAGAAAGTTGAAGTGTTTTTAACTATCTAAAGTGTGATCTCTTCGCTAGGTAGGAAGTTCGATAAGAATGGAAACCTTACTCAATGGTGGTCGGATGAGCATATTGAAAAATTCAAAGAAAAAGCTTCCTGCTTTGTGGACCAGTATTCACAGCTGCCTATCGATATAGTTGGGCAAAATGTAAGCTTACAAATTAATAGAAGAATTTAGTGAAATAAGATGTTAATTAAAACTCAAACATTTTACATGTTAAGTAATAATGCAACAACATGTTAGCAATAATAACATGTTAAGTAATAGTTAAAAACTTTACATGTTCTTCCATATAACAAAATTTTTGACTTATCAATGTAACATAAAGGAAATTTACTTACCATGTTCTTCCACCAAACTCTTCAATAACAAAATAATTGAAGAGTTTCGTTAAAGAACTAGTTAAGAAATTTGTGAAAATCATGTTTAAAATATATAAAGATATGAAAAGAATGAGATTTTTTTTTAAAAAAATTACTTTGTTTAAAGACTCGCAGAAATAAATGAATATTCATAACTAGTTCTTAAACTTAGATATTTTTCTGTGTTTCTAACATTGTTGCTTATAATCCATATTCTTCCACTAGCTCTTCAAATGTATACAATATTTAATTACAAAACGTAATGTCGCCATTTTTTTTGTTTTGTAGGTAAATGGTAATCAAACTCTTGATGACAATATCTGTGATAATTCAGGCTTAAAACAAGCCTATAGGGTAAGAAACAAAACTTTGTATACATTTTATTATAAGCTCACGAATGCTATTCATCATTTTGAATGAATATATATTAATGACAATAATATCCCATTGAATTAATAGCAAGAAGTCTTGAGTTATAAAAGCATTTTGTAAATAAACAGCGTGTAAATTTGTTTAATGGTTATGATAAGTGGGGCATCCGAAAGTTCTGTGTTTACAAAAACAAAGCCCATATTTCTAATTACTGGATTTAGTCAATAATTATGATTGATTTAATAAATGCCAGTTTAATTGAATTGTAAAGGAAAAGAAACAGATCCTAACAGAATATTTTTGCACTCTAGAAATCAGATTTTGTTCAAAACATCTCTCAGATAGACATACAAAAACTTTATAATTTATATTTCATAAGAACTCTGTACCTTATATAATTTTAATTGTATTAAATTACATTTTGTGTAAATCTATTATATTTTTCAAAACTTAGTGTTGTAGCGTGATTAAAAAGTTAGACTTATTTAATCAGGTGTTTTTCTTTTGAATTGAAACATTTCCTTTTATATCAAGTTTGGTAAATGAAGAAATATAATTTAAATGAAAAGGATATTTTACTGTGCAATATTTAAGAGTTTTCAATTTTAAACCTGTATCTTGCAGGCTTACAAAAACTATGTAGATGAGCATGGTGAGGAGCCTAGTCTACCAGGGATTCCATATTCAAACGTACAAGTTTTCTTTTTACAATACTCACAGGTAAACTAAATTTTTTCTTAATTCTTCCTTTTCTTTTTAAAAATTATGTTAATTAACCAGAGATGCCAACTGCTCCGGATTCGACTGCTCCTGGCATCTACTTTAAATTATTTATCTATTGTAGTGGTCACCCACATTTTATTTCGATGAGATAAAAGCTAATCATATAATAATTGTATTACAAGATATTCTTTCTTTCTTTCTTTTCCTCCGAGTTCACACGGTCATTAAAAAAAAAAATTAAAAAGTTGTGTCTAAAATACGAAAATAAATTTTATTTTAATTACCTAAACATTTTGCACTACCACGCTTAAATTTTCCAAATGAATATATTTAGTTACGAAATCTATAGATTTGATTTCTTTTTAACTTTATCATGAAAACTAATAATAAAATTAATAACTTTTTTATTACAACATTGATCACTTTTTAAATTTTTTAAAGACCGTCTGTTTCGTTCTTTCTTTCTCTATTTATTTATTTTCTTACTTATTTATTTATGTATTTATTTATTTATTTCAATGAAAGAGCTAAATCGTATCTAATGAGACTCGGGAACAACCGTGTTAAGTTTTAACTTCTATTTTTAAAAACATATTTCTATCAAGACAAAGAAAACTTCAAGTTATTTTTAATGCGTACAAGTTGAATGAAAAAAAAACGTATAAATTCCTGAATTAATACATTTGATATTTCCAAACAACTTCACCTATAGAACTTAAATGGCCAGAAGAAGCGAAAAGAAAATACTTCCTTTCTTAGTTTTTACTTGAGGTAAGAAAATCTTACTAACACTTTTTATTCATTTTATTAATCAGATTTACTTATCCGAGTAAGTAGACAAGTTTACGTAATGAATAACTTAGAAACTCTTGCTACCACTATGAAGTGATATCAAGATAATACTCGAATAACAGAACTATAGAATTATATAGAATAATAAGGAATAGCAGAACTGCAGGAATTCGTTTGAAATTTATTTTTTAAATTCGGGTTTATTTGGATAAAAGCTTATCAGTGGGGTTGAACTCTCATCCATAGTGAGGAAGTGGGGTGTAGCGCTCATCCTATAGACGAGAGATCATGATCCGAAGTGTGAAGCGCTCATCACGTAGCACTGTAATAATTGAGGTCATCAACCCTAAAAGTGAGGTGTTGCGCTCATTTTTCCCCTACTACATATAATTTCTTTGAGATATTGCCATAACATTTATAAAAATAAAACTTCGACCAACCTTTCATAAGTTATATGGGTGATCCTTTTTTTTCTGTTGACTGTGCTTCTATGTATCCTTTATCTTAGATTGTTAAATTTGTACTTTTAACTATTTATATCGTAATTCTTTGAAGACATATTTAGCACTTACTTTTAACTAATGTTACATAAAATTTTAAAATTACAAAATTAAGTGCATAAGAAAAATCAATTTAAATTTTATAGATATGGTGTGAAGTATTGAGCAAAGAGGCAAATGAACGATACATTAAAGATAATCATAGCCCAGGAAAATATAGGTAAGTGCAAAGTATTCCTTTAAATATAAAAATGGCTTACCCTAAACCCAAAATGTTACAATTATTCACTAAACATATATATTACTCATATTTTTAGTAAACAAATTATTCCTATCAAAAATAATTAAGTATGTATATTAAAATACGATCACAATTTCCATAGGTGATAGGTTAGCTTTTAAGTTTTGCAGAAATTACTTCTGCAGAATAATTTATTGCCCAAATTCGTCTAATAATAAATTACACCGGCCTGCGATGAAAAAAATACAAGAGGACTGATAGCTGAACTTTATGTACTTTTTGGTACTGAAATGGAAAAAAATAATGAAAACTTTCTATCACGTCACGTTTTCTTGAAAAATTCAATTTTACTAGAATTTTTATGACCATTTGCCATAAAAAAATTTTCGTCTTAGAATTTCTTGCCTGACCGGCATTCTATTTTGGTCAAATCTACAAAAGTACCCCTCTATGACATCTTCCTATCACCGTCCTTCTCCCTGTCACAATATCGCTCTACCAAAAGCGTCTCGAAAATTCTTATCTTGGTTCGCTGACCTTTTAGGAACACCAAGCGTATTTGGGAGTCATTTTTTCAGAAGCATTCTTAACGTCTGCTTTTCTGTGTGCGCTTCGTGAAACATGGCTTCCAGCCCGAGACCTTGTTAAAATTTCATTGCAGACTATTCATTACAGACAGAGCATTACAGTCTATGTAGGCCAACTGTATCATGCGTATTTTGGCATGAAACTCGGATACCAAGACAAATCGTGGGCTCCTCATAAAGTTTGCCTGTAGTATTTTAATGATCTACGCTTATGGCTCCGAGGAGAGAAGACTGCCTTACGATTTGGAATTCTTATGACATGGAGGGAGCCTAAAAACCACATTGATGATTGTTATTGTAGAACCTGCCTTGTTCGTGGGTATAACCGGAAAAAAAGTAAAGGACAAATATCTTATCCTGATCACATTCCATCGGCCATACGCCCCGCTCTTCAAGGGCAAGATGTTCCTGTGACATTTCCTCCAACTGAATTGTCAGCCATCTCTTCAGAGTCTTCAGACGCGGAACGTCCAGAAGTTCAAGGTTCCGATATCGAATATAAGTCATTTGACACCGGTTCACCTCAGCCCTTTTCTCAGGTTGTACTAAATGATCTGACTAGAGATCTGGGCCTTTCGAAAGAGACAGTTGAATAATTGTTAGTCTCCAGACTGAAAGAAAACATATTGGCCAAAGGAACATCTTTTTATTGGTACGGGAATCAAGAAAAGGAATTTATTAAATACTTTGATGAAAAGGAGAACTTGGTCTATTGTTCTGATGTTCCTGGATTGATGAGCAAATTTAAAGTCATCGACGATAAAGATGAATGGAGGCTGTTTATAGATTCATCTAAACGAAGGCTCAAAGCTGTCCTTCTTCATCGTGGGAGCCAGTATGCATCTGTACCAGTTNATTGATGAGCAAATTTAAAGTCATCGACGATAAAGATGAATGGAGGCTGTTTATAGATTCATCTAAACGAAGACTCAAAGCTGTCCTTCTTCATCATGGGAGCCAGTATGCATCTCTACCAGTTAGACACTCGGTATATATAAAAGAATGCTATGAAAACCTGACTCTCGTCTTGGACAAAATAAAATATATCGACCACAGTTGGACCATTTCCAATGATATGAAATTTATATCCATGTTTCTTGTTTAACAAGGTGGATTTGCAAAGTTGTAATGTTTCATTTGTGAGTGGGACAGCCATGACAAGACTCAACATTGGGTCAAAAAAGAATGGCCGAAAAGACAAAATCTTGATCCAGGCTCCAAGAATGTAATTGGAAACAGATTAGTTGATCCAAAAAAGTATTGTTATCCCCTCTAAATATAAAATTAGGTGTAATGAAGCTGTTTGTCAAGGCTGTTCCAAAAGATGGCGATTATTTCAAATACATGTGATAAAAGATTCCAGGTTTATCCCAAGCTAAGTTAACAGAGGTAATCTTTGATGGTCCAGATATCCGCAAACTCATCAAGGATCAAGATTTTGAGATTAACATGACAACAACGAAAAATGAAGTTTCAGTAAAACTAGCGGTCATAAAAAGAATCAAACTTATATTATCATCAGATACCGAGTTTCACGTAACCAAATTTTTCAAGAGATATTTGGTTAGACATAAATATTTCAGAATTTTTTAAGTTTGATTGACGATTAATTTTGCATCTAGCGGTTAAGAAACGATTAAACTTGCCCTAACATAAGGCAGTAGAAGCTGAAATAGAAGTTTCAGAGCTCAATCTAGAAGGAAAGTACTCAAAATTTCGATTGTACGATTCCACCCTGAGACGCACAAAACGAGTTTATAAAAATGCTGTAAAAATTCAGGGATGAGATTAGCCAAAAGGCAAAAAAGCTGAATTTCCACGATAGTAAATTTTACGCAAGCGCAACCCTTTAATAACAAATTCCAGACAATTTAAGGTAATAAATAATGTGTTGACATACAATTGTGTACTAATCTATTATTATAAAAACGATTACATTGATACTTAACATTTAGTGAAAAAAAAATTACCAATTGAAAAAATAAAGCTGGAAATTATATTTTTCCTCAGTTCACATAAGAGACAATTATTACTTGAAAAACTACCTGGTTTAGCAAATTAAAACTACTGAGAATATACATTAATATTTCATTTCTTTTAATAAATACTGTTATGTGATTTATAGCAAATATATCAGTAATATTACTTTTTAAATTATATTGGGAAAAAAAACTTTAACAATGGACCGAATCATTATGTTCATATTATAGTCTAATCTAACTAGAGCCCTCTGAAACATATCAATAACAGTGAAGTAGAAATATATAGTAACTCCTTAACATACAAAAATTGCTATTTTAGTTTGAAAAATTACATGACAATCAGCAACTGTTTAGATAATTGTTTTTTATTTGATAAGAATTTTGCATTTTATAGCATTAATAACAGCAATTATAAATAAAATTTTGATAATGAGTTAATTAACCCTTTCGCTCCTATCGGGACACATACGTCCCAAACAAATTTCAAAAGTATCTTTTGGGACAGAAAAGTTTATCTGTTTTATGGGAGACTTTCCCACCAGTCCTGCCAATAATTTTGAAGGTATTTTCATTCACAGAACATAGATGGCACTACCGTACATAATGCTGCCCTACTCATAGTTTATGCTACCAAAATTGTTCTGTTGTTAAAAAAAATACTCGCCGCGAAAGGGTTAACTCTTTTTCCAAAAAAAAAGATAATTTTATTAAATCCCTTTTTAAGTGATTGCTTTTGTTTGCTATATCTTTTATGTTTGCTATATTTAGTCGTTAGTTCATCTTCAAACATCTTGTGACAAATCTTATTTTTTCTTCTTTGCAAGCACAGAATGTAAGTTTTGAATATATTCCCTTCCAGTTTCTCTAATGTTGTAACACTTACATATACTAATAATCGTCGTTAGAAAAATAGTCACCTTTATAGTAACTAATTAAAAAAGAAATTTACTTCTAAAAAGAATCGCGATAGTTGATCTTAAAATTGCGTGAATATGAATAACAATTACGGATTTAGAAATCACATGAATATGAAACTAAATATACGATTTTGAAAATGAGAAAATACAAACTTGAATATAGAATTTTTAAAACGCGTAAATACAAATCACGATTCATAATTTTTAGATCGCGTAAATACGAATCATGATGCGTAATTTTTAGATTGCATAAAGAAGAATTATGATGCATAATTTTTAGAATGCGTAAATGCGAATCCCAATGCCTTATTTTAAAATCACGTATAAATACGAAAATCAATGTTTTACATTATAAACCGCATGAGCAAATCAAGACATCGAATTTTAAACTTGCGTGAATACGAATCGCTACATAGGTTTTTAAAAAGGCGTAAATACGAATCACAATATCGTTTTTTTAAATCTCGTAAATAAGAATCGCAACGTACAATATTCAAATCGCGTGAATAAGAATCGTAACACGCAAATATGAAAAGCTATGTTTGATATTAAAATCGTGTGAATAAGAATCGAGATATTAACTGATTCCAGGCATGGGACCTCTAAAAGGCTTGTCAGAAGCAGCGTCGTTTGAACTAAGAAAATCGGATCTATCTGGAGGGCGGGTAAAAAATTCGGAGAATCTTATCTGCTGCGTGCAAACGAGGAGAAAATAGTTAAAATAAGTAAAAATGAGAAAGGATTGGTAGCTATGTAGTTTGAATTTTCTGTTTCTCTTTGAAAATCGGTGAATTTTCTGAAAAAGCGAAATACTTATGAAAAAAAGTTAAATTTTTGAAAATCTGAATTTTTGATAAAAAAAAAAAAGCTGAAATTCAAGAGATAAAAGTGAAAATAGCGGAAATCCGCTAAAAAGCGGAAAAATCTCATCCCTGAAAATTAGACGGTAGGTATATAAAATACAGGAACACAAGAAATATTAAGAATATAAACTATAACAGGACCTCCCTGGTCGAGCAGTTTCACCGATCCGCCAAACGCTTTGTAGCGCTGAGGTAGCTGGTTCGAACCTCACTTCAACCCTGAATGCACGTTTATGATATCTATCTCTAACTAGTACTATCTGTTCTACAAAAAGCCGTATTTGTAATGAGCACAAAAGCCTGCATACGTATGTGTAACAATAAACATAAGTTATTATAAAATGTGCAATGTACCGTAGTAAAAAACGATGCAATAAAAAAAAAACATCACGCTTTGCAGAGGAAAAAAAACTGAAAAGGAGAAAATAGTTTTATTTTTGTAAAGGTAAAATCAAAATAGAGGGAAGTCAGCACTTTCATAATAAAATTCTATCACCACTTAGAATTCAGTCAAGTTTTTCATTTTAGATGCAACAAAAATAAAATTATTTTTTCCATTTAACCCACTTTAAACCCTTAGTTTTTAAATGTTATTTTGCTTTTACATTTCTTTCAGATCTAACATACCATTGATGAACTCTGCAGAGTTCTCGGAAATATTCAACTGTCCCATCGGATCTCCAATGAATCCCATCAAGAAATGCAAACTGTGGGGTTGAAAAAAAATCAAACTGCACTACGAGAAAAGCAATTTTACTTTAAGAAGAGGCGAAGAAAATGAAAAACACGCGGTAACGTGAACATTCACACACGATGTACCTGATCAACTGTGTAATTACCACTACTTGCTGACTCATTGCAAATATTATCCACTCCTGTAAATTTCAAACATGGTCTGTATATGGGAAAAATATAAATAAATGTAAATCTATGCCTACTACTGTATTTGTATTTTCATTAGTTATACAAATCCAAACAGAGACTGACATTCTGAGTTCTATATTATACAGAATTTTTAAAAACAATTAATATTTTTTCCAAGTCATAACATAAACAGCGGTACAGCCATGGGTTAAAACACACCTACAAATGAGATCTATTATTATTTCTAAATCATTTAAAATTAATGGTAGTTTATAAATAGAAACTATTCAATAATATTACAGTGTTATTTTGGTCAACAGTATAAAATTTGTAGAATAAAGACTAAGTTGGTTGATAGCTTACAGGTATAAGGAACCATTTTATTTTTCAAAATATACACCCATATTTTTCTCCTCACTTTTTCCATCGTTGTTCTCTTTGGTGGTATTCAAATCGAACCATACATCAAATTCTTTGTAAGAAACAACTATTGACTAAAATTACGAAACATACACTAAGTGTATGCTTTGGAAAATTTCCTAAAAGAATTAAATAACGAAAACGCAGGAAACGTTACATCGATAACCGAAAAATGAAACTGCATTTTCTCCGTAACAGAAATGTAAAAAGTCACTTTTTTCTAAAAGTTAAAATATTAAATAGTCAAAAATCTCTTTCCTTTATTTTAAAGTACCAGATCATTTTTTTTCCATTATAAAAATCATTTATAAACCCATTTAACAGTATTTTCATTTTATAACTGTATGACGGAGAGCATTTTTTACTTAAAATTAGAAGTCTTTTGTAGTATTATTATTTGGTTTTAAATATTTAGCGGTTTTCATATTTTCTTTGAAATGCACTTACTATTTAACATATTACCTTCCTTTTTCTTTTTCTTTTATTTATTTATNATATTTTTTTTTTTTTATTATTATTTTTTTGTAAATTATATTAATCTGTGACTAAAATTACATTATATTAATCTGTGACATAAATACATAAATCCCATTTAATGAGTGTAGTTTCATAACAAATTGTCAGCTTTCGATTTTTTTTTTACTTCAAGTTCAATTATTTAATTATAAATTTTTAGGAATATTTTTAAAAATATTTACGAAATTTTGCTTTAAGTTTCTTAACCGATACTTTCCCTTATCCGGAGCAAGGTATTTCATGGAGAGGTATTTCACCATGAAATACCTAGCTCCGGAGAGGGTATTTCACCAGTGAATTGAGGGTCTACTTTGGCAATATAATTTAGTGTGGAATTTTTCAGCTATACTTCGAAGCGTTGATACTTGCTATACACTACATATTAAAACTGGCATATGTTTATATAGTTTAATTTACGAGACATTAATAAAAATTTGAACTAAATTTTTGAAACAAATAACAATGACAAATACCTTCTATTATCATTGAATATCGAGTATGATATGATATATATCTAATAACTTAACGTTTTTATAATGCAAACATAAAATACCAACTATTAAAAGAATCGAATTTGAGCTGGGGACCTAATAATAAGAATACAACTAAAATCAAAATTGACGGAAACTAGCACAAGTGATTACAACATAAAATTAATAAAAATAAGTGTATATATACAGATAAAAAATATTTTCATATAATATTTCAGTTGCGTACATATAATATTGTAATTAAATATACAGTTAAAGTTTTTAATCATATTATTTGCTTCCTGCTAAGAAATATTCAATCATTTTAAATGTTAAAAATTTTAAATAACTCATGGCATAAGCACTGCGTTCTACACAATTAATATTAAAAAATAATAAATATAGAATAATCAGCACAACCAGCAATTATTAAGAAATCTAGTTTTCTTAAGTATGTTCTTCATTATCACTATTCAAGTCAATAATTGTTCTTTTTTAAGCTTTCTAGCTTCATACATAAAATGTTGGCTTCAAAACCACGAAATTCCATCAGGTTCCATAAAATTTAATAGATTTTAAATCCAAACATCTACCGCAATATAAAAATAACAGAATATTAGGTTTTAAAAAAGCACAAGCTAAACACTTAGAACGTTTCAAAACTAACCGAAAAAAGCAGCAAACGATTTCAGTGATCGTTTCAATTGGTTATCTAGCGCACGTGACAAATAACAACCAATTTCACAGCAAAAAGTGCTTTCATTTATCGTCACAACACTGATGCTGGAAAAAAAATATAGTTTGCAAAAATAACAGCAATTTTTTACAGAGGATGTCAATTGAGTATGAAAAGGGAGGAAGAAATTCCGATACCTACAGTTTTGCCACAGTTATTTTTGCAGTATTTGGTTTGGCAAATACCATGCAATAAGGCAAAAGATGATATGATGACCAATGTAGGCTATTTTTCTTTGAGTTTTTTTTATTTTTTCGTCTACTTAGTTGCAGTATAATTCTAAAGCTGCCAACATGAGCATAGCTGCCAACATGAATAGAAAAAATCCAGTAGATTTTACGAAATAATGTAAATTTCATGATAATTCTTGCATAATGTACTAAATATTTTACACAAGGGGAATTTTAGAGATTTTTATGGTTATCAAAACAGAAAAACTGCACTATTTTCCAGTTATGAATGACATTAAATATACTTGAAATGTTATGTATTATCTTTACTCATTATTTCGAATATTAATAGGCATTACTCATAAAAGATAGTTAATCATATCATTAGCATATCATAGAAGGTAAAAGATTTTTTAATTAATTTAAAAAGAGTTCTGAATAAAAATAAACTTAATATTTTAAAACAAAAAGTTTTGAACTGCTTGCTGTAAATGAGGTTCGCTTCATTATGTATTAATAATAATCATTTAAATATTCAAGCAGGCAATAATCTGTACAAAAATTCTATTTCAATAGATATTTTTTTAGGAAACTTACTCAATTTTAGGGAATTTTCTAAAATGTTCAAAAATCAGGAGAATTTTTATTAAACCAGTAGACCTGGAGAAAGCGGCAAAATCCAGTAGTCTACTGGTAAATCCCATAGAGTTGGCAACTATGGATGAGCTAGGTGCATATGATCATAATTTCATAATGAATCCCACCTGCACTAAAGCACCAAACACTCACCATCAACTCATTTTTTGTTTCTTTTCTTTTTTAGTGTAAGTGTGTGTCTGAATACTACACTTTAGAGTGCGTTTTAGTGATCCATCCTTGTTGGACTAATAGCAAAGCTAACTAACACTAGAGCCAAACACACTGTTAATCTTTCAGTTAGTCTTCGATTTCGCATTTCCAGGTAAGAATTTATTACTCATATCAGTGCAACCGTTCCTTTTTCAATAAAATTAATTTTTAAAAAAAAATTTATAACATTTTTAAAGCTTACAATGATCTCTTTAAGAGGGTGAGATGTGTAACTTTATAGCAAAAGGAAAAAAAACAATTAATGGTAAGCTACTGAATTTCACATAACCGTTTTAGAAATAACATAGAAGTTACAAACAAAGTAGCTAAGCAAATCAACAAATCGTTAAACAAATCACGATTTGTTAACAATCATTTCCTCGAAATTGAAAGTACATATTTCATATCAAATTACCTAATAGTATAACTAACATTTTCGATAAAATAATCGTCATCAAATTATAATTCTCTCTTTAATTAAATTTTATCCTCTAATTTACTGTGAGCTTTTTACTAATTTTGAGAATCTGTCTTATAAAACGTTTTAGTCTGGTTCGAGCACATATTTCATTGGATTTACAAAAATGAATTGAATAAAACAATATACATTTCGTCTGTTTCACAGATAAAATGCATTATTTTAATGGCTCCAATTTCTATGATTTTAAATTACTTAAAAAATTAGAAAACATTGGAGATTGAAACAAATACTTTATAAATCGCATTTTTTATACTTATAATTTATTTTATATTAAAAATGTAATTCTTATAGTAATAAGTAATAAACAAGTAACTTATCACATAAGTTTGTAAAACAAGCAAAAGAAACGAAAAAGCTTCTAGATTTAGAAGTTCTTAAAATGTGGTATATATGTTACTATTGGAGTTATAAATCATGATGCCAAACTTTTTAAATTGCATCGACATAATGTTATGAGCTTGAAAAGAAATCTGATTTGAAAAAAAATCATTTATCTGAAAAATGGCTTTTTGGGCAAAAGTTACAATATTTGATGAGGGTCAGCTTGAAGTTGTCCAATTGACTTTTTTGCACGAATCGTCTTTGTACTGATAAGATAGGTGGACAGAGCTGAAACTTTGAAAAATAATGACCATCTTAATATGTACCAATAGGGGTATGTGAAAATATTGTTAGCAATGATGCTCAAAAAGCAAATCTATAAAATACCCTTGAATTTTAAAACAATTATATGCATGCAATACATATGTTATTGAATAGTTATTTGAACTCGGTTTTTAGAAACTCAGAACACTGAAACTAGCTCAAAAGTTTATTTTGTGAATTATTTGAAATATTTATTTATTTTCCATGTAAGTCAATTTTATGTAATTGAAAATTATTCTCTTTTAATTATAAGTAATTTTTTTAAAAAAATTTATGTAAATAAATGCTAGGTTTCGCTAATTTGAGCATTTTTGATTCATTCGTAAACTAACCTAAATATGATTAATCGCTTTACAAACACGAATTTTTTGGAATTTAATTACTCAAATGCACGATTCGAATTTTTCATATTGTTTGAAATATATCAGGATGTTTAAAATCCACTCGAAAATCAATATCAATAACTGCCGAAAATACAACCGAGAAATAACATTGATTTATGATCGGCGTAAATTGAGCGTGTCAAAAATTTATTATCTAAATGCATGATTCAAATATTATGTCTAAATTTCTGTAGAAAAGTATATATATATTTTTTTTAAATCTTTCTGCAAGACGTCTGTAACGTTCTACGACAATGTCGCTGTGATTCTGCCACAGGGTAAGCAAGGAATCTAGAACAAACAGCACCCTTGTTGATTAGTTAAAAACCAAATTAAGAAGCAAAATTAACAAATGCAAAAAAAAATAATAATAATAATAATGCAAATATTTTTTAAGCAAA